ACGACTGTAGAGAGCCCTTGTCAGGTGGGCCAACCCCTTCCCCAGCTAAAAATAACAAGCTTTATAGAAGCTGGCTTCAGAACAGTCATTAAAGATTAAAAAAAAAAGGCAAGCAAGAGAAAAAAACACAACTTTACATGTCAGAGTGTACAACAGGGGCTGATGTAGAAAACACCCAGAAGACAGTAAGGACAATAAAACAGAACTAAGACATAGTAATGTTCATTTTATTTGATAGAAAGTTGCTTCAAAAATATGATTAACTATATACATTCTTATGTGCTGTACATACAATTACATATACAAAATGTACATAATAGCAAATGTCCTTCTGTTACATTTTATGGGCGGTAGTTGGTATCATGAGATAGAGCTTACACCGTATTTCATACCTGCTTTCACCCTGATCCTATCTGCAAGGGACTGACAGACATGAGAGATGAAAAGGGCTAGCAGATCACGCAATTCATTCCCCAGCCCACACAGAAGTCTTCTCCACAGTGCATTTTGTTGGTGCATTGCTCCAGTTCAGTTAGGTTCCCAGCACTCTCCTTTAGAGGTATTTGGCTGCTAACCTTACCTTCTGTTTTTTTTCCAGGCAGTCACCCTAATATTACCCTAATAATATACCTTAATAATTTCTAATTTATTTCTGTAACTCAAATCTCTTGAGTCATAGAAATCTTCCTGAAATCAGGCTAGATTTCTTCAACTTTATTTTTTTTTTTAATCTTGATTCCTTAGTTGCTTGTTTGCCACATATGAAATAGACTAACTGTTAGTACTCTCTGTTCTGGGAGAAGTACACTCAAGCACAAAAGCTATAATCCAAGTGTTCTCTCCTTCCCATGCTACCCGCACGCTGTAAACCTGCAATCAGTCAGCAAGGCAGAAAATGTACCTTCCCTCCTTCTCCTCGGGCAGTTCCAGGGTGCGTGACTGCCAGCTGCTCCCTGGGACAACTGGTGTCAGATCTCGAGGAAATGCCGAGTTACTGGGATTTTTCTGGTACCGATCTCATGAGGAACATTCTACCTGTCCACCCTCTCTCTCGCATACCAAAACTGGAACACAGGGAGTAGAGCCTGGCAACTCTGCCCCTCCCTGGTCGCTTCCAAGAGATTGGCCTCCGTTTCCTCACGGGAGGGATCAGGTACCCTTATCCTATGGACCTGGTGTTCAGGGAAGAAGAGAGGGCGAGAGCTGCCCAACCACCGCGCTACCAGCAGCAGAAGGCCTGTGAGAGAGGCCACGGCCTCCACACCAAACAGGCTATCCTGGAGGACTCTTCCCTGAGCTGAGAGGGAACGTGGCTTCTTTCATTGCCTTTCCAGCTTTCAGAGGTTGAAAATGATCTGCTTTCTTCTTGCAGATGTCTTGAGAGCTGCACTTTCATTGCCCTAAGAATGTTTTCTCCTTTCCAAGTTAACAGCTTAAACATCCCTAAATATCTGTTTTGCTTCTTCTCTGCTCATGTGGCCCTGTGCTTTCTAACCCTGTGCTGGTCTTGGTCTTCATTTCACTAGGAGATTTTTCTATTCTCTTTTCATACCGCTGTAACTTCTTTGTATTAATATGCAATAGCTTTCTCTGACGGGTAATGCAGTTTTCCATCAGCTGTCAAAGTGAAAGCAAGGGGCTTAAGGTTCCTCCTATACATTCTTTTGGTATTACTTTAAATAATGGTTTTTGTCTAATGAAGGGGAACTCTTCTTATATTCTTCAGAACAAGTTTCTATTTTTTGAATTACCGTGTAGCATGCATATATCTAATAATATCTTAAAGTCAAAGATACTAATATGCCTTCTTTTTTTTTTTTTTTTTCTATCCTGTGCCATTTTCATTTGTTTGAGAAAATGGTTTTCAGGATTCTGTTCTGCTTGCAGTATCTCTATCCACTGTTGCTAGGCCCATTTAGGTATTATTTCTTTTTTTTTATTTTATACTACTCCTTAATCTCCATTCGGAATGCGAACTGGTATGAAATACCTTCTGTTATTCTCTGTCTGAATTCCTGAGATCCTGGCCACAACCCTGGTTAGGAGAGGGCGCTGGTGAGCTTCTGTAGAGGTGAGACTCCACCTTAGCAGAAGTGGGTTTGAAGCACTCCTGCTGACCTTGCGTGGTGGGTGGTGGTGGAGTCTGACGGCTGTCACTTTGCTGGATTTGTGCATTAGCAGCTGGTGAATCATCATCCTGCTGGTCTTGTGTGCTGGGAGGAACAGCAGAAGAGACGATGCCCTGAGGAGCAGCTGTTGAACCACTGTTGAGACAATTTATAACTAAGATTGAGATACTAACGGTAAATGTGCGATTACTACTGTTCTTAGTTTCCGAGCAGCAGAGTTTGTTTATTAGCTAGTTAACTAGTTTTCTTCATTGACATGTTCCCCTTTTCCTTGTCTCACCTCAGCCGTATGGATCTGAGATGGTGACTTGTCTGTCTTGTTGGATTTGACTCCAAATTCCTTCTCCTGAATTGTAATCATGTTCTGGGGAAAGGTGGAGGAGGTGGGCAAGGAAGGAGAAGCAGCAAGGGAGGAGATCAAACTGCTGTATCATGAGTTTTAAAAGTTAGTAACTTTAGTGTAAGTTGTTACTAAAGGTACTGCACAACACGGTTTTCTCTTGACCCCTCTCTGTACTTCATTGCTGGAAGGTGAACTGAAGGAGGAACTGTGAGATTGTGAGCACTTCTAAATTCTCCTAATTTTCTTACACAGAAAACTTGTGTCATCTGAGTTAAAGGAATCATCACCGTTATCTTGATTCCTTACTAGGTGCTTAAATGCTTGTACAGTGAGGAAATTCTGAACAGATGTAAAATGAATCCATTATAAATGCATTCTAATAAGCATCCATTCGAGACAGACTATGCACGCAATATCTGCATTGGTTTCAATGGATGTGGGACTAGATTTTACGTAAGCACTTACCAATCGCAGACATAAAGACATTTTTAAGATACCAAATTTAAACTGAAAGGTCTACAGGCAGTATTAAAACACAACCCAGAATTGTTAGAGTGGTAGCTCAAGGTCCTCCTGGCAAGGTCTCAGGAATATTGTGTCTGTACATGAGAAGAACTAGGAATTAGCAAAATTTAGGGATTAATCTGATGAAGATAGAGATTTAAAATAGAAAATATTTAAGATTTAATACTTTCAAAGAAGACAGAGTCTGTGTTTCTGTGCTGTTGTTTTTACCGCCTGTGTCAAGGACAAGAAAAAATACTACAGTGAATCAATGCACACTGTATGTTACAAATGCAGGGGACCTTTGTTTTATGAAACCTTCTCATCTCTAGGAGAAAAGCATTAACATAGTAAACTGTATTTAACCAGGTTAGTGCATTTGTTTATTGTTTCCAGATGGGCAAACCTATGTATGTGGATTCTTCCAATAGATATTATCTGAGTATTTCTCAAGCAGTAATTCATAGACCACTGGTGGTCCATGGAGTACTTCTAGATGGCTTAGAGGGGAATTTTAATAGCAAAGCACTGCTACTTTTTGAACAATTGTGTCGTAACACAGTCAAGTATCTTGGGGTGGTTTTGTCTGTGTTAGTTTTTTTTTTTATGAAGTGTCTTACAGTTGCAAATACGAATTTTAAAACATGCATGAGAGAACTGAACTAGGAATAAGTAAAATATTACTTCAGTGTCGAAAGCCTAAGTAAGGACAAATCTGTTCTCCCTGTCTCACTGATTTTAATCTCTTATCCTGTTCCTGAGGAGAGGCTGAGAGAGCTGGGGCTGTTTAGCCTCAAGAAGGCTCAAGGGGATCTTATCTATGCGTATTAACATCTGATGGGAGGGTGTAAAGAAGCTGGAGGCTCTTCTCAGTAGAAGTGCTGGGACCAGAGGCAATGGGCAGAAACCGAAACACAGGAGGAAACGCTTTTTCACTGTGAGGGTGACTGGCACACGTTGCCTGGGGATGTTGTGGAGTCTCCCTCCTTGGAGATACTCAACCTAACTGTACATGGCTCTGAGCAACCTGGTCCAGGTGACCTTGCTTTGGGCAACAAGGGTTAGACTAGCCAATCTACAGCGGTCCCCCCCAACCTCAACTACTCTGTGGTACGTACGTTTGGTATATATGGAGACAGTACTATGCAAATAGCTGACTTCACTGACGCTAGGGATGGGTTCAGCAATTTTTGACTAGTCTTGTTCACAAGGTAAGAATGTCCACAATAAGCAAGATGTTATTTAATAATTCCTCTGCCCCAATCATTTGGGCTCTTCTGGCAGTAAAAGAACGCTAATTTAGCTCTCCTACAGTACTTCTAACAGTAGGCACAAAAGAGGTGTGATTTTGTTTATGTTTACTTGTGGGTTAATCGAGGCACAACAGGCGACATGAAAATGGAATTGCTTGGTCTCTGGAGAGCCTACAGAGAACAGTAAGAAAAGTAAATAATGCCAAATCTAAAATAGACATATTGATCAAAGTAACTCCATGTGTTTACTTCTGTATTCTTTTCCTGTAATTTAATAGCCTTGTGCTGCTTTGTCTAGAATGAACAATTTTTTTTGTGCTGAAATATTAAGTTAGACTGCTTCTGTATTATGTACTTTTTGTACAAGGTTACAAAAATACTTACCTACTTGGCAATGCATATGCGAACATGTATCTTCATGGTAATTTTAAGACTGCTTTTAGATTTTGTTACCACAGGGTAGTATATGGAATTACACGTTGCAGGCTACAATATTTTTTTAAGACTTACCAAAAACCATGCTTCTGAAAAGCACCTGAGTTAAGATCTTTGCTTAAAATTGGCTTCTTGGTGCAGTTGTTCAGTTTTTGTCCCATCATTCGCCTAATTAAAGCATCATCTGTGTTTGGAAACAACTGTTTTGTGATTCCTGAAAAACAGAGAGATGATATATAAGAGGCCTCCAAATCAGGGAAACAACAGAGGTATGATTTATAAAGCATTTCTTGCACCTTTGAAATTTCCAGCTACTTCAGCTTCAGGTCTAGTTACTTTGCTGTCTTCCCACACTACTTCATAGATTTTGCATACGCCAGCTCTTGCTTTTCTCTGTGCCTTTCATATTGCTGTGCCTGCCCTTGGCAAACTCAAAGGGAACTCCAGGGCCGACAGGGCTTCCTGTAGTGAGTGGTTTGTGTTTGCTCATCCTCTCTTGCTTTGTTCCATTCTTGATCAGAAAGTCCTATTCCTGTCCTTGTCAGTCCTCGTGACTCTGAATCAGTTTTTGTTCATCAATTTTCATTTGCAGGTGATGTCTCCTTCCCTAAAAATTTCCCTTGATTTGCCTGGCTAACTTTTGTGAATGCAATACTAACAGGACTCAACATTGGGAATGCAATTCCTGCTCCCCTCTTCTCTGTCATCTTTCCTTCCCTTGATTTTTCCCCTTTCATTTATTTTTGAAGTCTTACAGTTTTCATCTTCTTTAAATAATCTGATCTACTCGCTCATTTTCTACAGTCCTAGAACTCACAGGCTTCCATCTTTTTTCTCTTCTTCTCGTGTGTAATGTTGACACTTTTCTATTTGAATTCAGGATTGTTCTAATTTCCTTCACAAACTTCTTTGACTTCTCTATAGGGTCCCCTTTGCCACTGAATTCCCCACAGCATGCTGTATTCAGTGTCCTGATTATCTTCTCTGCTCCGCTTTTCAGTTTTACCTAGACCTTTCCCCAGAATCCACCTTTAGAAATGTCACTAGTAGCTCTTAGAATCATAGAATCATTTAGGTTGGAAAAGACCATTAAGATCATTGAGTCCAACCGTTCTTCTCATCCCATCAAATCTTTTTAATTTTTCTCATATCTCTAAAAATCAGGCTTCATGTGCTCACAAAATACTGTTTTCTTTAAAGCTCCTACTTCCATCTGAAATGATTCTTTTTTCTATGCACCAAACATTTTTTACCTTAAACCTCAGCATAAAACAAATTTTGTTTGCTTCTCTGATAGCTATTCCTGTCTTCTGCACTTACTGTCTCATTTTGCCTTCAGCACTATTCAGAATGTCAGAATTCATAACGTTCACTAGCTTCAGAACATAGCAGACATTATTTTAAATTTGATCCAAGTGTGTCCTCTCTTTGCCTGCCCTTATCTGTTATTGTCACGCTCCAAGTTTGCCTGTTGTAGATTAACCTTTCAAAGGCTAAAAAAGAATTTGTAGTATCACTGTGCTGAGTAGCCACTTAAGTAAAACCCACAAAATTCACACAATAGAAATGCTACTACTTACCATTTCACTGACAATATTTCTAACAGATGGGTTACAAAAGTATGTAGCTGAAGAAGGAAACATGAAACAGCACATCACCCGAGAAGACCAGCTGTTTAGCACTACAGCCCCTCCCTCAGAAAAAGCCCTCTGTCAATCCAGCGCCACACTCAGTAATGTTAGCAAGTCATCACCTATGATTTCCTGAACTTCATTCTGATTCATAGCTGGTTTCGCTGCTTTGTCCTTTGAAGAGGAGGACTTTGCACCTGTCAGGCTGTGTGTAGCCATGTATTCATGTGTATAAAGTGCTTGCATCAAGTCATTTATAAACTTCTGAGGTTTGCTCTTGTTACATAGTGCTATCTGCCACTTCTCGATCTTGAACTGGAAAAGAAAATGGGTCATAGATATAACTATTGCAGTTCTCCAAAAATATTATATAGTATTACCTCAGAAATGTATTTTTTGCAGTTTTCCTTTTTTTCAAGCCACAATTTCAAAAGTAATTGCTGCAAACTGTGTGCTTGAGACAAATGCTAAATTTGCATACTGCACAACATTTGCAGCTGTACACGCAGGTCGATTTTTTTTCGGAAGCAAGTGTGGGGCAAACTCAGGACCCCGTTCATCCCAGCAAATGCTTCACCAAGTGATCCTTATTACTCACTAGTGGAGACAGGACATGTTCAGACACATCTAAATCCTTCTGCTTGCACTCCAGGCAGGCTGGCTGTGGTCCAGTCCTGGCGTGGATTCTCCCAGTACAGCCTCGGGAGCATGATGTTACGCTCAAGCTAATATTCCTGCCTCCGAGCAGACGTGCCCTAAGAACTGTGACATCTGGTCGTGGGCTTTGAGCGTGACTTCTACACACAGCACTTGTGCAGCCTAAGTATTTGAATTCTTCTAATGGGCAATTTTGAGCTACCTCTATTTAATAAGGCTAGGTTGCTTAGAAAATTCATTCTTTTTATTTCTTTGGAGATGGTAGGTCTAATTTTGTGTATTGCAATATTCAGTCAAAACGCCATACCCTGATAATTCGTAATAGATTTCTTTGGTTTTGGGGACCCATGACAACATACAAGAATGATTTCCACCAACTGGCACAACTCAATGCACAAGAATGTTTATGTAAATTGTGAATGCAGAAGCTGGAATTATTCTTTTGGTAGGGTCTTTACATTTTTCATGTACAGCCTCTGTGTCTGACATTTCTCAATATGTTCTGTTATAATTAAGGAGAACAGGGAAACATCTGTATTCGGTATCTATGTATATATGTATTTCTACTTAATTGCTGGCCAGTGTCTGGAACAAGAGCAGAGACATACCATTCTCCATTTACTTATTAACAGTTTAAACAGACTGATGGTATTTTTCTCAGATTATCTCTGAACACTACCATTCCCCTTTGGCATCCAAAACATTCGGCTGGAAGTTATCCCTGGATCTCAGTATTTTCTTCATGCATCCACATTCTGCCCTTAATCACAGATGTGCAAAGCCACTGAAATCAAAGCGAGTGTGAGAGTGTACCAGCACACTGAATTAAGTCTAGTGTTTCTCATGGAAAGAGCCTTCTGCACAAAAGGAGCTCATCAGTCATGTCATCAACTGAATCATGATAAAGTGATTTTTCCTGATGCTTATTTTTTATATTTGTTATACTATAACAGTAAAGTTTGTGCTGTATTAAGTTTTATTTTGTATGCCTGACATTGTGTTTTGACTGACCTGTTTTTCAGTCTGTTGCTCCTCGTCTTCCACATTCAAAGTTACTGGTGAGCTGGAGTTACTATGCATAGCTGCATATGAATCTGCTAACGGATTATTAGATGCTTTCCAAACAGCATGTGAGTGCAGACTGGACGTAGATGATGTCACTCCCCCTTTGAGCAGTGCTTCAGCCATCCCTACCAGTTCCTCAAAATGGGTGACTGCCTGTGGCAACACTGAAATCAAATGGAAAGTGAGGGATAAAATAGTAATTTGAAGCTTTCAGACTCTAATTACATAAGCATGTATATTTTTGCAATTAGATTCCTGTCATAATGCAAAAGAGTCAAAGTAGCCAGCAAAGAGGCTTTAACATACTTTTTTCCTATTCTTTAAAATGTTTCCCTGCCATTCTGCCGTCCCCACCCACGAAGACCTGGCCTCTGTCTCTAGAATAGGATAAATCTGTTCTCTGCAAGGCTAAGAGCAACCACTAGTTTACGCTCATCGTGGCATTACGCAGGCTATTTCTCTTCTTTCTTTTTGCTATCTCAAAATCTCTGCAAGTCTGTAAAGCTGTTGAATATGGGCTAAGTAATGTTACGTCTGATTTTTTTTTTCTTCAAAGTTACATGGACTGCATAGACTTTTTTTCCTCTTTTTTAATCTATAGTGAATATCTTTTAAATAACCTTTTCTCCAAGTATTTATTTTCAAATATAAACTTTTATTGAGTTGATTAAGAAGAATCAATTCAGAGCCAAAAGGATGCAAGGGATGAAGAATCATCAAGATACAGAATCACTAAATTACAGAAAATACTGGAAAAGACTAACAAAAGTGCTTAAGATGCATGGCAAATGGACCTAGATATGTAAGAAAAGTTGTTGGACACTAACAAAATGTTTAAAATTAATATTCAAAGAGGTGGAGATGAATGATTCAAACCAACATGAATACTGTACAGAATGGAATCAGCTAGGCAATGAAACGGATAAGCGCCTGCAAAATCATATGAAAATATTAAAAGAGATACTAGGCTGTCTGGGGTGGTGTGATGTAACTGGCAAGGGAAGGAGCAAATCCTCTTTCAACCTCATTCATTCACTAATGTTTTCAACTTTCGGATACAGTCTGGGCTGCCCCAGAGGAAGGGACAGGGACGAGTAAGAGGGGCTTCAGAGATGATCACTAAGTCGTGAAGGACAAAATGGTTCAGCTGTGGGAAAGGACTAAATTTGTTGCGCCTGGAGCCAACTCAGATTATCAATAATGAGGAATTACCAAATTAATTAGAAATTAGATAATTCCAGGATAAATAAAATTTCAGTAGATCAAGAAATACTGCTAACAAATAAGGTTAGCTGGGCTGCTCAGTGGAGCGTTTGAGCTTAGCCAGTGGTTATACACAGCATACAGAAAGTTTCTCTTAGGAACGACTGATGGATTTTTCCATTTCTGACTCTATGATTGCATGGCCTCCATGTAAGACATTTTTTCTAAGTGCTGCTGGAATTAAATGTTGCCACATATCAAAGACTTTGATGCTAATGGTAGGCCTTGATTGTGTCAGGTGCTTGAGCATCCATAATTCCCACCCAAATGGCCTCTTATAAATCAAACTTTTCATGACCTTCAGGCTTTCCTCTTCATCAGAATACTTCCCCTGACTTTACCTTGAAGCATCACCAGGGACTGCCTTAGGCGGCAGTTTTCTCTCATGGTGTCTGTCAGCTTCCTCTTGAGACTTTTTATTTTGGCACACAGTTCTACCTTGGATAGTTGAAATAAAGGCTCTTCATCATCACTGCTACTTTCACTGTACAGAAAGTTGCTTCCTGAATACGGTTCTCTCTGGAAAAAAGAGATAAAACCGTGCTATCTAGAGCAACAACCAAAAAATTAAAGAATTAAAACTAACAAAATATCTGGCTGAATCAGAATATTCTCTTTGTACACAGAATGTATAAACAGACTCAGTGCATTTTAATAATAGCTGTTACTGAACATAGCTATTACCATTCCTATTAAAATTAAAACTGCAATGTCAGTGTAACAGTGTACGTAACTGTTAGGTACTTCTCTCTCTGTTCTCCATTCACCGATTGTCTAAGCTAGTGTCTTTTAGGACTGTCAACTTCACTAAAACAAAAATCTTATGCTCTTCTAAACAAATACATTTCAGTTTGCTTTTGCTTAATACACTAAAATTGATGAAGATGAGCTGTTTACCTGTTTGTTAATTAAAGATGTTTCAAGTTGACTCAGGATGTTGGCAGGAGCAGATGCCTGCAATGATTTCTTTCTTTTTACATGCTTCATCATCCTCCCCTGCAAACAAGAGCATAATAGTGCCTTTGCATTCCTATAGACCTTTTCATTACAGTATCTCATAGTACAGTACAAACTTTTATTCACTGTGCACTTGACATTCTTGGTTAGTATTTTTGAAAAGATTTCAGCACAATGCAAAACTCAGAAAACCTTGTCCCTTCCCTTTCTTACGCAGTGGCCAGATTTCTGTCTTACGTGAGAAAATGTAAGAGAGCTACAGAGCATCCAAGTCTTGAATAACACTTTTCTCTTTAAATAGCACAGGGCAAAATCTATTGGCCTAACTAATTACTCTGACAGGTTATCGTGCTGAGGTACCATGTGAAGACTGCCTGTATTCCTACCTTTATTATACATATTCCATGTATTATATTGTGAAGAATCAGTAGTTACAGTCTATTTCATTCCATTGTGGGCCTAACAATATCAGGCACATAAAGACAGAATCTCACCTGTTCTTTATCCAAGTCACTGTCCTCACTTTCAGAGAATATCATTTCTATCCTCTTCCTCTTGCCTTTTCCAAGGACTTGTATTTTTGTAATTTCATCTGCTTGTAATATCTTTTGCATCATTTCCACCAGCTCTTGGGGGTCATCTGAAGTGATGGAAAAATAGGCCAAAGCACAGAAAATCAGGCGGCAATACCTTACAACTACATTAAAATTTCATGTGAGACAAATGCTCTGGAAGTGCACTCACCGCTCATGTACACAACTTTCACCAGATGCTTTTCTGTCTTTCTTTCTCCCACAGGCCAGTTTACTAGCACGTGCTCATTTGGTTTCAGAAGTCTTTCTAGTTCCTTGCCATCACTGGGAAGGTCCTGTATCCATGACGTCTCTCCAATTTGCAGTGAATTATCATTTACAAAATCAAATAGGGTGAATTTTTTCATTGTTAATTGGTTTTCTTTTCACACAGACACTGCCTGCAGAACGTCATAGGAAAAATAGCTGTTACTGTGTCATGCCACACCACAGGAGTGTTACAAGAATACTTTAAAAAGCCCCAAACAACCCTCCTATTCCTGGATATTGGTAATTACCTTGTATGAAAATATCCTGGATAAGGAAGTGAAAACTAGCCAGGCGGCGTGTTCTGTCTCCCCTGAAAGATGGGAGATGGTCTGTTCAATACATGTACACCAGATAGTTGCCTCCAAAAGTATGCACAGAAAACAGCTTTCACTCATAGAGCCCTTGCTTCCATATTACTACCATGCCTAATCTATCTCCTGCCCAGGATCTCCTTTCCTACTACATTTGCCCCAACAAAAGTTTTCAGTCCAGCCTCTGACTAAAAATACAGGTGTGATAACTTTCCCTAGAATGAGGGAAGGGACGGCTCTACATGCCATTATGAGGGATGTGTGGCTTCCAGGGCTGTATTAATCATCTCATAGGCAGCAAGATGTACTACTGCAGCCACAAAAAACCAACCCAGAACAACCCAGGACAACTGACTGGATGAGGTATGACACATTCTGGCAGTAGAAAACTTGACGTACAAAAGAAATGACAGGCTGAGGACTGGAAGAGAGCTGGGCTGCTTCATGAAGAATATCAGCAACAAGGAGAACCCAGACCCAAATATACAGCTCAATCCTTTGCTTACATAAAACAGTATTTTTAAAGCAAAGGACCATTTCTGGACTTCTGGAGCACTGAAGTTCCACACTGGGAGAAGGGAACAAGTCATACTTTGTGCTCTATTTTTCTAATTAAGCTGATACGCCTTACATGAAAGTGTGAAATGTAATGTACATTAATAAACTCTACTGGAGATGTAATCGGTTCATTTTAGTGCTTCCATTATACTCAGAGAAGATATTTTCTACTTTAAAATTATTAAATCAGATAAAACCAATAGATAGAAAATCTGATTTTGTCAAATCTTGGTCATCTTTCCAACAAACGTATGGTTTGGCCTGTCAGTTCATAGAGGTAAAGCAATTTTACAGAGCTGCAAACTGACGAAATCCCAGATTTGACAGCATGGTTTGCAATTTACTTGGCCTCAATCAGTCGGAAGCAAATCTAGTGCCTCATGCAGAGGCTGTCAAAAAGGTAACTCAGAGCTAGAAAAGGAGAATTAAGCGGAGCTATTATGTCACAGTGAGAAAATCTGGCTGCAGTGCTCTAAGCAGCAATGTCAACGAGGCAAGCGGTGTAAGAAATTGCCATTAAAAATGGTATTAAATCATGCTTTTATGCAGAATGTGTCGAGTGTGATAGCAGTAGGATTGTTAAATACTGCCCTACTGAAGAAAAGAGACCGTGCTTGCAAGAATTCACATTAATTTTTTTTAAAGAGAGTTAGAAAGACCAGGAGACATCCATCCCCTGCGAATTCTGGAGAGGAAGCAGCCTGAATGTCTATGCCTAGCATGAATCACCAGAGGCCTCATTCTGCCACCAATCCACGCCGAGTGGAGCCTCATGCCGCAGAAAGGGATAATTCAAATGAATACACATACAGACAAAGCAGAACCCAAAGGAAGAAAAGTGTCAGCACTGATGTCACTAGGGATAGGAGGGGTCCAAAATGAAAAGCCGTGTTTGTCTGAGCAACAATTTAAAACAGCCTGTATATGCAACCACACTGACCATTGGTATTTTTTCTTCTTTTTCAAACCGCTTTTGAGTATATTCCCCACGTCAGCTTAACATTTCTCATCTGGCACAAAGATGTAAACTTGTACCTCTGATCAACCCAGCACAGCAATCCCCATCACCTGGTTCTTCAGTGCTCAAAGGAAGTACTTTGAGCTTTCCCCTCCTTGGCCCTTGGCAGTTGCGAGCTACTCCGTTACCCTCCTAAAAGCTCGCACAAAATCAGCAGAATTGCAGCGAAGCTAGAACTGCCAGTGTGCTAAGACTAACAGCTGATTGACTGGCTTCTGTATTTTTTTTAATGTTTCCCTGTAGGCCTCTAACAGTCTGTTTATTGTCTCTCATTTCGTATTGAGACAAATACTGCCTGAGCCATGGGACTTTCCTGTGGTCTGCGCTTGCACAGGGTTAGCAAGGCAGCCCGGGATTTGCAGGGAGGCACTGAATACACAGGCTGTTCACAGCACGGAGGGCGAGCGGGGATTCCCCATGGCGCTGGGGCTGTTCACATACACGCTGTGCCAACGCTCTGCGCAGCGGTAGCAAGTCCAACAGCTTTCGGAAGGTATCAGACTGGCGTACGTGTTATACAGCTTCATGAAGTCAGTGGACGTGCTGGCTTCAGGATGTTCGGAGCCCACGACACCGGTCTGGTGCCACTGGTAGACAATGAAGGTCATGGCCAGTAAAATCCTTTGCGTAGTCTTTACACCAGACAAGCACCCAGATCCACAAAAATCCATCCTGCCACTGAAATCTAGGGACAATTTTTACCATGGTCATGGCAGGACTTGGAGCTCAGCAATTTGTCTACATTATCTATAACGCTCTTCTAAGCTGTCAAGATTCTTGCCTGCGGTGGGAGGGTGTACTAGTAAACAGCTAAACTGATTTCACCACGAGTCTTAACAGCTGCCAAGTTAAAATATAAGCTACATCAGATGCTGAGAGAAAAAAGGAACGGATTTCACAAATAGCCATGGGAGGAGGGATGGGGCTGATCCACTCCTTCAGCTCTGGGCAGGAGTGCGGAAACCTCCTGGCAGCTTCCTGAGGCTGGCTGTGATCAGCCCTGCTGCTCCTGCTGCTTCTGAAGGGGCCAAGGCAGGGAGGGAGCTGTGGGGCAACCACAGCAACTGGCCAGGTCCCCTCTCCTCTGCTGCAGCTCTGCTGGGCATCATCTCAACTTCTTGCATTACAGATAAAACGATGAAATTATTACATTGCCAAGTAACAGGAACAGGGTGCAATAGTTGATTGTTAGTATTCTTCTGTTACGGAGCTATGGCTTCAGCTCCTGCAGTGGACATTAATCAAACTATGTCTTTTCACAGAATTTATTGTGACAATCCATGGGCCTTGGGGATAATACCTAACTGTCTGCTGGCATCATCTCTAGCCAGTGATTAAAGGGAATGGAAAGTTAGAACAAAATGTCTCTAACGAGGAAAAGGAACAGTAAAATGCTTCACTTACTGGAAGAGAAGTCCTGCAGTGTTTTCTCACCCTATTCTCCCACTGGAGTCAATGTGAACCTTGTCTGAGTCAGGACTGCTGCAGATGCCCCCCTCTAAAATGTTTTATTTGCCAGAACAGATCAAAACCAAAATATACTGTATCATCAGGGAAAAAAAAAATCTTGGGGAGTGGGATTAATCTTACCAAACTTCAACTGCCTTAAACGTGACAGGTTGTCTAGCCACGTTTGGCTCAGTCACCACAGAGAGGTGATTCATCTCACCCTAAGACACGCATCTAAAAGACGGCAGATGACTGACTGTCTGGGAGAGCCTGTTTCTCTCCACTGACTATTCAACGACTACACAGGGGTAGGTATGCCTCCTTATAGAAGCTGGCTTGGTTCATCCCATCCTATATTAGCTTCCTCTATTTTTGAATAGATTTTGAATGGTAGGGTAGATTGCAATAGCAATTCTGCTATAGGGAGCCAAAAAAGATGGAGTATGAGGTCTGTTAAAGTGTATCTGGTTCTCCATTGTAAATCTTTCTAACACAGTTCTGCAAGTCATCAAGTAAGATTTCTGACACCGAGTGCTTTGTTCAGTGGTTTAACTGGAAGATATATAACTGTGCATAGACGTGTGCAGCAACTAACCACAGAGACAGAATTACATGACCTTTGAAAGCCACTTATGTTCTGCAAGTTGCTTAATTCTGCTATATTCTCCATTTAAAAACACTAGCTACTTATTTGAGAAATACTGAAATGCGAATTTATCGTTTGTCATTGTCTTAAGGCACAAATCTGTCTTTACTTTTTCTAAAAGCAGGTAATTTGTAGAAGAGGGGGAAAAAAAAAGGAAGGAGCCATTTAATTTTAAAGCTTTGCAGAGGAAACGTTAATTGGACTCTTAATTTTTACAAACATGTTAACACCTCACATTCTGCACAGATGCTATGAATTTGCACACATAATATTGTTACTAAGCAACCCAAAAAGCCAGAACAACAACAACAAAACCCCCACAAAAATAATTTAAAGACATATCTCACCCTTAGACTGACATAGTCTGTTCCATTCAGCCGGAGAGTTGGCAGATGGCATGCTGAGATCATTATTTCTCTTTCCTTTCAGTAAACGCAGTGTAAAGTATTACAAATTTACAACATGAGATTGTAGGCCCACTCAGTGGGTCTGATTCTGCTGTGGCGTAAAATAGGGCTTTGCTACTGATTTCAGCAGAACAAGAAACTGTGCCACAACCGTGCAACACAGATCCATAATAAAGTATTAACATTTTATATTGTCTAGCCTCTAAGTTCAGCCTTCAATAATCCCAGTTTTCCTTGGAAATAAAAAAAACCAATCCACAATACAACAACCTTTACTGGGCTAGAAATTCATCTGCCTCACTCAAAACTATGTATTTCAAATTCAGCATAATGAATGGTAGTCCAAGTTTTGGTTTGTGTTACTTAGACTGTGTCATTTTCAT